AAACCAGGCAAAGCAGGTATACCACCACAGTGCCTCAAACCCACTCAGGTTTACAGTCTTCTCATTTCTGGCTGTTTAATAAATTTGTGTTTTTAGTCAATTTCCACCCTTTAATACAAACAACACCACATCTCGTAGCTTTAGTCTGAAGCTAGAATCTTTTCGCATCCTCTTGATTTAAACTTTGACAAATCTGAAAGCCTCACAAAGCAAAGTTTCACTCAGGTTGATCCGGCCGTGAGCCAACAATCACAAGTCACTCTGCTTCTCACTTTCTTTTAATTTAATCAAGCGTCATCAACCAATTACAACAGGCGTGTAGGCAAAGAGCGTGTGATGCGAGTTTAAGTACATGCACGACAGTCCCATATGTGTACTATTGGTCCAACTGTGAAAGGATGGAGAAGCTCAACGGGATCCTAAATGAAATGGAAAAATAAAAAATAAATAGCACTGACCTGACAGAAGGACACAGAGGTACCTCCTAACAAGGTGTTGGTTTAGTCACACAATGCTTACTTCACTTACTGTCAGGAAAACAGTACATTGACCTTTTAAAGAGCAGACTTCGTACAGTGCGTACCACGTTTCTCTACATCAAACCCTCGACGTGCTGAAGCACCGACTATCACAGGGCTCAGTGACGCACGTAAGGTTCCTAAAAAATCCCTCTAAGCTGAGAACTGATGGATCCACCTGAGCTACCAGCCTGAGAACCACATTTGAGCGTCAGTAAAATATCCAGAACGACCGGAAGGAGCAGTAAGCAAATACACAACGATGGTCCTTTCAGCAACGCCCTGCGGTAACAGACGGGAAAGTCAGATTGTATTTTCGACAGACCTGCATGTAATTCAACTCGTGGCCTATGAGAGGTTTTGTTGCTACAACTCAGGCTATTTTACAGTTCGATGTTGTTTCAGTAAGTCCGACTATTCTTTACAAAACAGGACACCAAGTATGACGTTTCAAAGAGCAGTATTCCTATGTCATCTGTTTCCTGGGAGTTAGTTCACCCTGTCGCTTGTGATACACTAAAATAAGACGTCGTTCACAGGAGAGCTGTGACACTAAGCTATTGAAAATATACATACGACACTCATGACATAATTCAAAACGCGTTACAAAGACCTAGGGCTGTACAGTATCGTCCTAAATATTAAAACTTGTGCACAGGGTTGTTTAACGGTAACAGCAGGACTGTCAGGAAAACCCTACACTGAGGTAAACACTTTTGTCTATACAAAATAAAATAGTGTTATCAACCTCATGGCCGCAAACGTGCCACCGAAAACTGTTGATATTCTAAAAAATAAAGAGTTCCGACAAAGTCTTCTTCAGGGTTTTAGGTGCTTTAGAGTGGCAGAGTTTGGCTGCGGTTAGAATTGCCGCGGCGTTCCTTTGAAGGGCTTGAATCCACCCACGGTGCCGCCGCTGGGAATGGAGCTGCTGGTGATCTGTACGATTCGGTTCATTCCCGACGAGGAGTGACTGCGGAGAGACAAACGTCACGTCTAAGAACGGTGGGAGGGAGGCAGACTGTTCAGCTTTCTCACTGCTTAGTGGTGTAGTTACCTGGAGGGAGCCATCATGCTGCCCCGAGTGTCCCCCATCCTGCGGCTATCAGGGAAGCCGCCGCCCTGGGAGCTGGAGCCGCCGTGCCACTCCTTCCTCAGTCCTTGCTCCCTGCTGTGACGCTCCACCACGACCTGACGGCCGGAGCTGAAGGGCTGCAGAGGAGGAGGTGGAGAGTCAGGCATCGCTAGGAAATGTACCGACTATAAGTCACACGCTTTGAGCACTGTGGCTTAAACAATGATGCGGCTAATTTATGGATTTTTGCGAATTTGGCAACGAAAGAGAGACTGAGGAAGAGTGTGACGAAGTAATTCTGAGGCTGTTCAATTCCGACAATGAAGACTTTAGTGGTTTTAGTGCGCAGGAGGAAGATGACGATAGCGATCAGTGACTTTTCCTGGTAAGCTGCTGTAGTTTTTTTACAGGCACTGTTGGGAAAAAAGCGTATTTGTGTATGTTACCGGTACGTATTTAATTAAAAGTTTAAAAAATCTTTCTGTGTAAATATCTCATGTTACAACGTGGACACCTGCAGCTTATAGACAATTGCGGCCGATATATGTACAAGTTTGTTTTCTTTTTAAAGTTAGTGGGTGTGGCTTATACTCAGGTGCCTCAATAGTCTGGATATTACGGTACATGTGAACAACAAACTAAAGACTGAAACTCCACACGTAGGAAAATGTGAAAGAGTACCGTAAATTCTGGACTATAAGGCGCTACTTTTTTCACACGCTTTGAACACTGCGGCTTAAACAATGATGCAGCTAATTTATGGATTTTTACGAATTTGCCTCGAGACCAAAATGACATTGAGAGCGACAACGAAAGAGAGACTGAGGAAGTGTGTGACGAAGTAATTCTGAGGCTGTTTAACTCCGACATTGAAGACTTTAGTGGTTTTAGTGCGCAGGAGGAAGATGAAGACAGCGATCAGTGACTTTTCCTGGTAGGCTGCTGTTTAATCAGCCGTGTTACAGGCACTGTTCGGAAAAAAGCATTTACGGTACGTATTTAATTAAAAGTTTAAAAATATCTTTCTGTGTATCTTCCTGTGGCCTAAATTTGTACAAAAATTGTTTTCTTTTTAAAGTTAGTGAGTGAGGCTCATATTCAGGTGCCTCAATAGTCCGGACATTACGGTAAAAGCAAACACCAACACTGCATCAAGTTCTGCTGAATACTCTGAAGTCATGCTATTATTTTGAAAAAAAAATGTGACTGATTTATAAAAGAAAAAAGAAAAAATTCCTCACACTTCAGAAGACTAAACTTATGTAAATACTCTAATTAGTCCATTACTTGTGTCAGCCCTTCCAGAGTTATTTAAGATAACCTAACATTTGTAGGTGCCCTGTCGATACTAGTCCATATGCTGTTTGTACAGAATAAGCACAGTTAAACGATTTTTCAGAAGCCGACCTGATCGCTCATCACCATGGGTCGTCCGTTGTCCTGGTCGTTGAAGCTGCTCCTCCCGCGGCTGACTGAGGGGCCTCCTCTGAGTGCAGGACCAGGACCGTCTCTGCCCGATCGCTCCGCACGCATGCGCATCGGACTTCTGTTCAAACCAGCAAACATGGTAAGCAACTTTAGAAAAGAGCGTTCAACAAATGAGGCTTTTTTTCTTCAAACACTGCAGCGTTTTTACCTCATGTCTGCCTTGTTGGAGTTCATCCCGCCGTCGTTCTTCCATCCATGCGCTCCGTCTCGTGGCGAGCGGGTGTGCGACATGCCCGGTATCGTAGCTCTCGCTCCGACGGGGCGGTCGTGCATGGGAGCCGGGCGTCTCTCGTCCCGGTCCCTGCGGTCGGTGTCCCGGAGCTCAGCGCGTGGAGGAGGAGGAGGCTCCACTCGGCGGACTGTTTCGAAGTTCTTGGGGTAACGGTCGAAGCCGGAGCCGTCTCTGTGAGGAGCGGGCCGACTCTTCTTCACCTCTGGTTCACCGTCGAACCTGTTACGTCTGGGAAGGAGACAAGGAGCACAATGGGATTATCCATCCATCCATCATCTATACACCGCTATACCACCACACTGCTCGCCCTCCATCCCTCAGTAAACTCCTACAGTCTGAGCTCTTGTACCTGTCGTATGTGTTGGGCTGATCGGCGGCCGCCTCTGGAAAACGACCCCTCTCTCTGGGGCTGAAGTTTGAAAATCGGTTCTGCTGCCGATTGTAGTTGGAGCCTTGGTTCAGACGGACCTCCGGCTCCGACTGCATCTTCTTGTTTCCATTCCAATACGGATCATCTCTGCGACTAAAACAATGAGTACAGACAGATCCCTCTTAAGTCATGAATTTGAGGCAGACACACTTAATGCTACTTCTAATGCCGTACTCTGGCGTTACTGTTGTGTTTTCTATAACTACATAAATATAAATAGTGTTTATAGTTGTGGGTGATCACTGGGTAAAACCTTCCCTCAGACATCGAGCAAACAAAACAAGCCTCATATGGCTTCGATGAAGGTGGCCAGAAACGAGTTTGTAGCCGTACTGTGCAGATGTGAGTTCATTTATTTACATGGATTGCTGTTTCTTTTTAAATGAGAAAACAGTTGAGTACAATTTTACCTAAAATGCTAAAACATCTAACACAAAAGAGAAAAATAATATCATAATAATAAAGATAAAAATGTATTTACCAATGTTCTGGGTGAAATTTAGACCCACAATTTGCTCTTGCTGAGTGATTGATATCCAAACAGAGAACTTTCTGTTCATCACTTCAGTTTGCTTTAGTTTCATTGACAGCATCTCTAACAGGTCAGAGCTCTAGTGATCAAACTATCCAGGTTTGTGACCCACTGCCTTAAAAAAAAAAAAGTGCCCACCAACATCTAACAACGTGGGTCATGATGTCAACACACAAAAGCTCTGTTGAGGGAGAACTGTGTTTACCCGTGTTCCACTTCACGGCCTCTCTTCAGGTTGTTCCTCTTCTCCTGCTCGTACCGGAGCTGCTCCTGCTGTCGCCTCAGCTCCTCGCGTTCTCGTGCCATCCGCTCGGCCTCTTTACGCCTCTCCTGCAAGAGGTCGTATTAAAAATAATTACTGAGCGACGTGGAGGTGATTAGATAATTACAAGCAGGGAGAAAAATCCAAAGTGGTTTTAACACGTCTATAAAAAACTATTTGGAGGCAAAAACACAGTAAATTGACAATTAATCTTATTTCTGCTTTTTGACGCCAAACACTGGTGGAGAGAGGAGCTGCACCGTCCCTACAGAGCTTCTGCCACATGCTCGCATTGTTTCTTGTTTTAATTTTGTAAAGGCAGAGCTGCACACTTTCCTCAAAACACCTTAATGTCACTTTCTTTCTGTTTCAGCTGGACTTTCTGCTCATTGTCTTCTCTTTGGTAGAGACAGGTTCAACACCTGCCCAGCTGCCCATGGCTACATCCCTGACCACCATTTCTCGTGACATGAAACGACATCTAAGGTGTGATTTTTTTCTTTCTTTCTACACACCCATCTATTTAGTATTTGCCCCAGTAGTACATCTGTTGGTGCTTACTGTACCTGCTCGATACGGATTCTCTCTCTTTCCAGCCTCTCCCTCTCCAAACGCTCTCTTTCCAGTTTTTGTCTTTCCATCTCCAGTCTCTGGCGCTCCCGGAGCAGGTTTTCCCGCTCTTCACGCTCTCGCAAAAGACGAACACGCTCACGCTCGCGACGCTCTTGCTCTGCGATTTCACGGCGCCTAAAGCCCAAATAAAGCACATGGTGTTAGAACGATAAATAATCATTTTAATCAAACTAAATGCATCAATCGTGTTCCAAGCTACCTGCGCAACTCGACAGCTCTACGGACGCGCTCAAGACGAATCATCCGTTCACGCATCCGCTGCTCCTTCTGCTCCTTCATCTTGTCAAAAGGCAAGATGTCTCTGTCCTCCCCTTTGTTAGCAAAAGATCGCTGTTTGTCTTTAAGCATCTCCAACTAGGAAGGAAAATAGGAAATCATGTTAATAAAAACAGGCGAAGCTTTATAAACACAAACACAACCGTAAATGTTGTGTCCATAGGTATAAAAGTTTCATACCTCTTCAGGAGGAATCAACCATTTTGGCCGCATTTGGACATTGGGGTTGATAAAAGGCTGAGAAAGGAGCAAACAGACTCTTATTTAATATCTTCTTAAGACAAATTTAAGTTTAAATATAATTCAAATACAAAAAAAAAAAAAGTCTTACTTTTTCAAAATACCTTCCTCTTCTGAAAGGTCTCATTTTGCCAAAATTAGGATCTCCTTTGGGATGATCGACCGCCATCAGCTTGACTGGGCTCTTTGCCCCTAGAGTTAAAAAAATAAAAATGAAAAAAAGCAAATATTAACCCAAGGAAACAAACATATGTCCATTAATAAACTAAACTAGATTCTCTAAGTTAGTGTTGAGAACCAAAACCTACGTCCGTGCTTTCTGTCCTCTTTCTTGGAGGAGTCTTGTCCCGAGGTAGATGAAACGGGTTCTGATTTTCCGCCCTTGGCCTCCTGTTTCTTGGACAAATCTTTGTCCTTTTCAGAATTTTTATCAAACTTCTTGTCTTCCTTCTTGTAGGTGGGCTGTGCTCTAAACAGAACATAGAGAAAAGGTTAAACGGGTTTTCAATCCAGAGAGGATCAACATATCCACTCTTTCTGTCACTCACTTGTTGGTGACTTTTATTCCTGTGGAACTGCGTTTGTCGTTTGATTTGCTGGAACTTGCTTTGTCCTCTGCTTCTTTCTTGGACGGCTCCTTTTTGAAGGGATCGTTTTTGGCCTAAAAAAACAGTGGCAGCAAAATATAAACGATACAGGTCCACAGTTTTCTCCAGAGTCAAGGTCTCTTCAACGCCTCTCCTTTCTGACTTACCCGTTCGACGTATATCTGCTGTCCATGAAGTTCTGTGCAGTCGAGGTGGGAGATGCAGCGAGCCACTTCTGTGCTGGAGGACATCGTCACCAAGCCGTAACATTTCGAACCAGGACTGCGAGCGTTCGTGACCACCTTGGCGCTTAAAACCTGTGAGAAACGTTTTTCTATTACACTGAGCATAAACTCGCCGTCGTATTTTCAGACATGTTCCAAATGGGAAACTGCTAATTCCAAAAAAAAAAACACGTTATTTACCTTCCCATATTTGCCAAATAGGTTCTTCAGATCCGCCGCTTTGGTGTTTGACGACAGGCCGCTCACCCATATGTTACGAGAAGAGCTGCTGTTGCTGCCGCCGCCGCCTGGAGCTCCTGATAAGACGTTTTCCAACACACGTTAACCAAAAATAAATAAATACTGCATCATGTTTATGGAGCAAGTAGAAAGCTGTCCTGGCTTCTGAAAATTTGGACAACATCTTACCCTTGTCATCCTTCGTAGCTTTTCCATCTCTGTCTCTTGAAGAGCTACAAAGCAAATGTTCCAACAACAGACAGGAAATGAGTGAAGGTAAATCAAACCATTTAACGCTATAAGCATTCACCTAGTGGAAAAAAAACCAACATGTTTTGTACTGTCGAGAAAAAAAAACATCCTTTAGGCAAGGCGTGGATCTGAACCAATGTCTCAAAGGCTTCATTGCATTTCCAGTGGTGAGATGGGGGTCAAGTTGTCAGCCAATTTAGTCCCTGGACCAATGAAATCTTCGGAGGTTTGTTCAACTTCACAGTGAAACCATTTGACCAAAAAAAAAAAAAAAATCTGTCATCACGGAGACTAACGCTCTTTTACAATGCCTTGTGCAGAGAACTGGGAAAGGCTTTAAAGCTGCTGGACAGGTCAAAGTAACAAAGTAAGAGTTGTTTTCTCAGCTCCTGGTTAATGTCACAATTTAACCAACTTCAGAGAAATAAATCAAAGCAGTAAATGGCAGGATTAGGTACATCAGTGAACATTTCCCTTATGGCAAAAAAAAAAAAAAAAAAAAAAATCTTGAGGCTACCCACAATGTTGCGTTCTTAGTGAGCTGGACTTGGTAGTAGTATCAAAGAACTGACATAGAAAGACAAACCTCTTTGCTTGACCTGATGCCCCAGTAGCGGAGGGGCCTTTCTTCCCAGAATCCTTTTCTTTATCTCCCGTTTCAGCTTTCTTCAAGGCGTCTCTGCCGTCTTTCTTCGTGGGGTCGCCTCGGGATCCGTCATCTTTCTTACCATCTTTGTGGCCCTCAATCTCTTCCGCCTTCATGTCATCATCTGGGCCCGTCTCAGCAGAGGCCTCTGGCTCATCAGTGCCCTTCTCTGCCTCTGAATCTGGAAGTTTCACATGTTTACCTGTTTCCAGGAGGTCGTCACCATCAACATCTATGGTGATGGCATCTTCGTTTGGGATTGAGACGGATAGGTGATCGTCCTCGGCTTCTTTAGAGGAGTTCATGGCTTCAGCGTCCATCTCAGCCAGTTCGGTCTCCATCTCTGGCTCAGCGTCCTCATCCACCTCTGGCTCGGCATCCACCTCTGGCTCTGCGTCCACCTCTGGCTCGGCATCGCCCTCTGGCTCGGCCTCGGTCTCGGCATCCACCTCTGGCTCAGGTTCTGAATCAGCCAACGCTTCTGACTCGGGCTCGGGCTCGGGCTCTGGCTCGGGTTCAGCCTCAGCCTCAGCCTCAGCTTCAGCCTCAGCCTCAGAGTGAGCGAGGCTGTCCTCACAGGGTGCAGGCTTAGAATTTTCACGAGTACCATCATCTGTATCAGTTACATCTGAGGGATTTAATAAGGATAAACATGGCAAAAACACAACTTTTAACATTGACAAGTCGCATGTTACTTGACCTATAAAGTAGAATATAAAGCACATATAGTGTTAATGGTCATCGAGGGCGTAGACACCACAGGAAGACACAAAACACACACTCTTCACTGAACATGGGGGACGGTTCGGGAGTCTTCAGCTCTTGACACACGTAAAGTACTTCAGCCACAATTCACAGGGATTCCAGATGTTTCCGACATGGTGTGGCAGCAGTCCAGCTGTGAATCTTTGGACAACGTTCAAACGAGGAGGCAAAACTGAGCTCAGTTCATCCCTTGGTTTTCCCAAATATGCAAAACACATCCCGAGCTGGTCAGTCCAAGGAAAGTCATCTGAGCTTAAGGGAATCTTCAGCCTCTTCTTTATTAATTCAATGTCATCAATGTCTTAGTGGCAAACAAAAACGACCTTTCATCATCAAATCCAACCTGCTGTAATGTGTCCAGTCAACCGTACACACCGTGTACACAAATTGCGTCCCTTTGGGCACACCAGTCTGTCCTTGTTGATGTCTGGCCATGCTGTGTGTAGCGCAACATCTCCTCAATGCACACATGCTGGGGCTGCAGTCAGCCGTGTAGCAGCAGTTTTCATGGATGATGCCTGCGACAAATTCCTGAAGTCTCTTGATCTTTGTGTTGTCTCCTGCTTTAAGGCCTCTGCATGTATGCAGTGTTTCGAGGATTCGAGTCATCCTTGAGCTTACCCAAATCCCAACCTCATTCACAGGCCGTCTCCCCTGACAAGACCTGTAACAAGGTGCGTGGTTCCCGTAGCAAAAGGTGTGACGTATTCAGATATAGCCAGTACGCTTGTCAGTGGTCTGTCCAACGATGCTGTCAATCCTGCTGTCAGCCAGAGAGTACAATGATCCTCGAATCCTAAAAGCTGTCGCAGCTTCCAATTCATTAAGACGTAATCAAATGTCAGCTTGTGAACGTTCGCTCTTCATTTCCTTGGGGAACGTGCGAAATTGAATGCCAGAGGCAACGGAAATCCACTGAAGCAAACACAACTTTTCGGTAAATATTTTGAGTAATCGAAAACCTAAATCAAAGCAAACCCAGGACCAATAATTCATTCACGGGCAGCACAAAAGGAACCTTAAAAAATTGAGTGGTTATTTAGAAAAATGTCTCCATTAAGCAAGTCTTGGTTGCTCCTGTTAACAGACTGTGACCTAGATAATGCAGTAACTAGCAGAAGCGTGGAACACCACCAGATACGGGTCATGTGTTCTACCAGGAGTTTGTTGTAGTAGTAATATGTGTCAGCTGTAAGAGAGAAACAACCGTGTCTGCAGTGGGCACTAGTGTGTCGGCATACATACCCTTCTCTGATTCATACTCCTCAGTTTCCTAGAAAAGAAAACACCGAGATGAGTTGGCACATTTTTCAACGACAGATAGTCACAGGCAGAAGAAAGTCCTTTTGGTATTCCAGTGTACAGAAGCATAAACATCTACTTTTAGAAATGTATAGCAAACAAGTCTCACATCAAGGATTAAGAAACACTCATCTTCTGATTTTGTGAAGATTTAAATTTCAACTGAAAATTATAAGATGTGTATCGATACATTCATAGTGGTTTTTCCAATTCCTTATTTCAAAGTTTCAGTGTGACTTGAGTTTGTGGCTGCAATTATCAGAATAAACTGGACCGGGTAAAGGGTCTGGATTATAGGTATGAGCTCTGTAAACCACATCTCCGGCTCTGTAAAATGCAAAAGCCTCTTAATGCTTCCTGTCATACTTCATACTTTTTCCTGGCAGCCGCTGTAACACTTGTTGGAATGTACAGATGTTTACGCGGCCTCCAAGAGAATTTACATAAATTCGAGTTTGCTTTGGCTTTGTTCAAACTACGGAAAGATTTTTCTTGAAGGCACACACTCAGACAATTCACTGCAACGTGCTTGTGAGTATGATTTTTCTACAAAGCTGGAATAAGACGCTCATTACTGTGGCAAACATAAATGCTTGCCAGTCACACTCACCTTAGAGAATCCATCCTCTTCTGCTGTGGTGTCCACATCTGAATCTACTTTCTTGCCCCCTGAAAGATTGAATGAATAAACTGTGAAACATCAGGGTGGATAATTAGCCAACCTGACTCAGGCCAGGCTCACACTACAGGAGTTATAGGCTAATTTACCCCTCTCCAGCAATCGGAAAAGAAATAGGACTTCGGTCTAAACTGATGTCCGGCCAAGATTATCTGGTGATGTGAGAGGTTCCCAGATCCACTCTTAACCCTCCCAAACTGCTCGCAGACCCATCAGGGCCAGCTGAAGTTCTATACACTAGCCCTCGAGGCTAACATTAGCTACAGACAATAAAACAGACATTTAAAATCTGCCCTCCAGGTCTTGCTGAAGAACAGACAAACAGTGGGGACCATGTCTTCCCAACCATTTTGTCATCCAGATTTGTTTTTCTCTTCTTTTTATTGTTTCTCACGGCAAAGTAATATTAGCGTTAAAGCGAGTTGTTGCTCCACAGGCGTCATCTTGTTTACATCTGTTGCCCCATTAAATCATGTGAGGTGGTGCAGTGCTCCTCCAGCATGATCATCTTAATAATATCCTGCAGTGTGTAACACGCCATTATTTTCAAATCTTAAAGAGTTTGCATGACTGAGATTAAAGAGAAGAATATCTGGGAAGGGGCTGCAAGGTGGCTCAGTGGTTAGCACTGTTGCCTCGCAGCAAGAAGGTCACCGGTTCGCATCCGTCTAAATTGTCCATAGATGTGCATGCTTGGTTGTCTGTCTCTAAGTGTAGCCCTGTGATAGACTGGTTACCTGTCCAGGTGAACCTGCCTTCACCCTAAATCAGCTGGGATAGACTCCAGCCCCCCATGACCCTAGTGAGGATTAAGCGGTTTATAGATGATAGATGGATATCTGGGAAGATTCTCCTTTTGAGTGTGATGCAACCGGATTTCACAATTAGTCAGGATTTTAAAACTCCTGTAGCGTGAGCCTGACGTTAAATGAAATTAAGAACAACATTACCTTTCACTTTTCCACTTTTCCGAGTTGATGCGTCAGCAGAAAGTGGGATCTGGATGTTTTCTGGGTCGCCACCTTCATCTTCAACAGCCTTAAAAAAGTAATTTCATTTTTTTAAAAAGTGAACACATAATGGGAAAAACAACATTTCAATATATACAGCTAGTTAGGCCTGTTTGTGTCGGTATGAGTTATTACTATGTCAAAAATCCATCACTCTTGAGAAGGGTTGAGTTGCCTTTTGCTGTGGATTCTAACTTGAATGCAGAGACTATCAGTCACGCGCTGCTGATTCTATTTCAGAGACTATTAGTAAAATAAAAAAAACACACACACCTTCAGCATAAGAAACATGCGTTTTTGGGCTTCAGCTTGTATATGTAAAGAATGCAGATATGAAACACAACCCGTAAACTGCTGCCAATCAAATGGCAAATATGCTGCTGTATAGACTGCATATATTTGTAAATCAGATTCTGATGAAGTCAGTGTCTCACCAGCTATGAACCTCAACGCACGTCACTGGTTGTAACAAATGGTGTGATTCGTCTTTCTTCTTATATACCACACACTGCCAATTGTTTTGCACCTATCAATGTAGGCTTTTTCTTTTAAAATCTATTTAAATACTTTATTCCAGGTTGTCAAATTTGATCAATAGGAGTATTACTTGGTATGACCAAGAGTTTTGCTTGTGCTCCCAACTTTTTATAGTGGTGCGCCTAGATTTTTGCTGGTGCTCCTAACTTTTTTGGGTTAGGAGCACAATGCTCCTCAGTCAAAAAGTTAATCTGGAGGCCTGACAGCTAAACATTTTTTACAGCTAATACTGCTCACTGTGGTAACGTTGGTTCCTTCTTCTCAGGCAGCAAAGGCAAAGAGAGAAACGTACAGCGCTTTGAGATGCTGAACAATTTAGAGAAAATATCTAATCGCAATTTTCCTGACAGATTTTGCAATTTGTTTTGCAATAAATATTTTTAAAAGTCAAGCTTCACTTAAGGATTCACTGTGAAATGGATGAAAAGACGGGATAGAGCCTTACCCCATCAGACAAACTGAGACAACTGGCTGTCACAAGGACAACAGGAGTTTGTAAGACGAATGACACAAGTGTTAAAATCCAGACTGAATGATGAGTTCATTGTTTCAAATGAGAATGTTGATTTAAAATCAAATAATTGTTCGGCTCTAATGTCGGGTGTTGTCAAGTTTTTAAAAAGTCACATCACAGGAAGTGCACCAGGGGAGGGCAAATTAACACAAACAACCTTGGATTAGTTTTTTCTAATCATTTTTTCATGACTAATCAACAGGAGAGGTCCGTCTAATAGAGCGTAAGGTATTGCGATTCAGGGGCTCTTGGACACAGATTTATACGACACAGACTTCAGCATGCAGACGCCACGTGTGCGCAGTAAAATGAGAGAAGATCAGGAGGGACTTGGTCGTGAAAAGAAACACACATGATAACAAAAACAGGTACTCAGCTGGCAGTGTCTTACAAATTCTGCTCGCTACAGAGGCAGCACGACTGGTTTGTTTGACCCTTTAAATCAGCATAACAAAGCTCTGCCTGACTTCAAAGCCAAATCTGAATGCCATCCAAAGCATAAAACGATTTTAGATGCTTTTGCCAGTGTTATACCACATGAGAAAGGTTCCAAACCTTTTGCACTCAAAAAAGGTTTTTAAAAATATGTATAGTTTTAGTTTCAATGCAGAAAAACAAAAACACTCCATGTGCCTCGCATGATGAATTCAAGTCATCTGGTGAAAACTCCTCAAGCTTTTCATTTTAAAACATACAGAAAGCAGATAAAATAAACATTGAATTATTTTTCTAATAACACGCTGCTCTTGTGCGGATGTATTTTAAAGGTCAACTAAAAACAGCACTGAGGTCAGTTCTGCTCTGCATCCAGACACACGATGGGAAATGAACCATCCTCAGTCGAACAAACTGACTGACACACACACACACACACACACACACACACACACGCCTGCTGCACTCCTGTTTAAGTCCGCATGTGTTGATCTGATCATCTGTACGTTCATCAACAAAAGCGTCACTTCATGTTACATCTGAAGCCAATCACGTGTAATCTGCCTAATCCGTTACTGCTAAACAAGCGGTACGTTGGAGTGGCCCACACTGTTGTCATTGTACGGATCTGGAGGTTTTTGTTTCGAAGCGCAGACAGCGTTCACGGGCCTTTGGTTTCTGTTCAGACGCTTCCCTTCATTTATGCACAACGTTCAGTCCTGAATGATGCCTGTTATGTTAACCTTCCACAATCACTTTCGATTGATAATTCAAGCCCGCATGAACAACACGCTGTAGTGTTTTACCACATGCGTGTGTAACTACTAAACCGAGGATGCCGTTCAAATGGCATTAAAAAAACGGAACCAGTGGTCATTTGAGCAGAGAAACTGTTAACCTGGTCAGTTAACAGCAAACCAGGCACAACATTGGCCACCATTAGCATTAGCATTAGCCCCTCTGCATCGCGGAGCCGCCGCTCATTCATCCGTTTGCACATACTAGCTTCGTTTCGGTTACCTGTCTCAGTCTCGTGAGCAGGACGCTCTTTACACCGGACGTGTCCAAATTCCTTCGTTTGAGCTCGGACTTAAGGTCGACAACTCTTAATTCTGATATCTTCTTAGACTCCGTTGAAATGGCACCCGACGCCATTTTACCTCAAGATTACTAAATCGTGCGCGCGCAGGTCGTTCGCCCAGTTTCTTCTTCGTTGTTTTTATTTTTCGTCACTAAACGTCGCACCGCCGCCTACAGTCAGAACGCGTACCGGGACAGGAAATATTAGATCAAAACCAATGTGTCCGTGACATATTCCAGGAAGAAATGACTCACAATGTAAAAATCATGAAATGTAGTTTATTTATTTCTGCCTGATTTACTGTAAAATAAAAGCTGTATTCTATATTTGTATGAAGTTTCACAAGCAGGCATTTAAAGCCTTTCCACTACACTTGGCAGAGTTTTTATTTGTAAATAGGTGTAACTAACCAGTAAATAGGCAAGATTTTTCCTTATGATACTTTTTCCAATCCTGTACTTTATAAATGTTTTCTTGTTCCTGTTTTATATTAATTTTTGAGCTATATTTTGCTAAGGCTTAAACATATACTTTATTAAGCAGAAATTATTCTGTTTTTTCTGTCCTTTTTAGTCAGCAGAATGCCTGCAGTATACTTCCCACTCATCTGTGTAGATAGTGAAGTGCACAATATCCCTAATTTGCATACGCACTAAATTATTCTAAATTATGCTACACACTTGAGACGAAGGAAACGAGCAGAGTCAGTGATCTTTGGTCCACCTGTAAGGTTATTGTACATTACGAAGAGCGCACAAGCATACCGAGTTGTTCTCAGAAGCAACTAAAGATTATCACCAAATGCATTAACTTAAATAAAATGCTGTACCTGCTCAACACGCATCATAGCCCAACAAAGCATCATTATCGCCTGATTCTCCTTTCATGTTCAGGAGCTGCATGTCATGCTTACATCAAATCCTTGAACTAACTCTGCTTAGCCTGTGTCAAGTCCTGAACATTATAACATTGCACAGTGTCTTCTGAGCAGGTGAAATGATGGAGTGGGGATGACAAAACAATCTAATCAAAGCTGTCTTGGACAGCTCATACATAGACTTTCCTCATTTATTATGATTTTTAACCTTCTGATAATTTACTATGATTATATTTAACATCTGTGATTCTATATTTCCACAAATATATGTAAACAAAAGGTTCAAAGGCCTAAGTGGTTATATACTTGAGTATATTGTTCTGACGACAGAAGCTGTTTCCTGATCTCCATCTTAGTTGCAACCTCTGTCATATCAGTATTTGGTGAAGAGTGAGTCTGCAGCACAATAAATGATACCTTTAATAAGTATTTGGATAATACAGTCTAATTATGCTCAATATTATACAGTGCTTTATAATGTAAGTGACAATCCTATCTTATTCCTCATCATACAATAGGCGTACTGAAGATAGTTTACTATGAAGACCTACAGTCAATTTCCTTTTCACATCCTAAATTTTGATATCTCATGAAAATGCAACAAGAATTGTATTTTCATACTTTTTTTTTTTGAAACTCTAACATCCTTTATATATCACAAAACTAAACAAATCTTCATTTTTCCTTGTGTGTAATCTGTCAGTTTCCATGTGCCAAGTGAATGTCACCTTTCTTCATATTTTAGTTCAATCCAATTCAGTTTTATATGAATATTGCACCAATATACAACATATGGCACCCCAAAGCATTTCACACATTGACGTGAAGACCTCACAAAGTCATGGAGAGAAGCCCAACAAATCCAAGGATTCCCTTTGAGCAGCTCGCTGGTGACAGTGGGAAGAAAAAACACTCCTCTCTAACAAATAGAAACCTCTCCAGGCTCAGGGTGGGCAGCCATCTACCACAACTGGTTGGAGTGAGGGTAAAGGGAAGAGAGAGAAAAACTCAGCAGATAAAACGCACACAGAAAATGCTTAAGAGAACAATAAATACTGGGGCGTTAGTAGAAAAGGAACCGCAAATCAGAAACATGTAGATGCATGCAGAGAGGACAAAACACAAACTGTATGAGAGAGAAGACATGCTATAGTGATATATAATTGTATGTAAAGAGAAATACAGGTGAGAAGAGGAGAGGATTATGTAAGGCCCCCCAACAAACTGGGCCTAAAGCAGCATAACTAAGTTCTAGCAGGTAAACTCACCACCTAAAAACATTCACAGTGGATGTCAGTGCCATTTCTAAATTCAAAGCATTGTCCTTCCTTCATATCTGAGTTAATCATTATTAGTAGTGATAATAATCAGTAACAATAGTACTAATATTATTACTATTATCATTAGTAATAATAATAATAATCATAATAATATAGCTGAACCAGTCTTACTTCTACAGCGTGACATTCTGATAACATAGACCAGTGAGAGTCAACCTGAGGGACGAGACACCCACAAAGAGTGGCACTGATTACCCGGACAGGAGAGTTGTTATATGACATTTTCATTTGTCCCTCTCTGGTTATATTTCCCAAACTGAAACAGTGTTAAAGAAAACAACCTGAACTGTAAGCGCTTAAATTAATCGTCTATTTGTTCTTTTCATGTTTATGTATTCTTGTTTCTAGGTTAACCGTTTCACGTCAGTGGGGAGACTTTCAGCTTGCTCTGCATCTTTGTGTGCAGGTTGCATAAGGTTTCAAGAAATAAGGTCAGAGGAAAATGCTTGGGAGGATACATTTTCATCCCCAGAAGGTTTCTTGTCTTTGAAAGGTTAGACTGACCATTTGTTATATGGTATACATGGTATGGAAACCTGATCAAGAGGTTTAACTTACAAAGCTATGCATACTCTCCAGTGAAAAGGAAATCCTCTGTTTTCTGTTCACTATAAAATCTGTTGGATTTGTGCTTCCTCTCCGATGGGAATCAATATGAACTCTGTTATTGTCCTTATTGTACAACATTAAACTTACCAACAACCCAACAAAGGGTTTGTGTTTGTGTGTGTTTCAAAGTTCTAACAGTTACAGAAATTTTCCATAACAGTGATTATGCTGTAGGATGTTCAAATGTAACTCGTTTCTGCAGTGTGTGAATATTCATGGTAGTCAAAAGTCAGCGTGTGGGTTGTGTGATTGATTTTCAGCTACAGCATTTTACCCATTCAGCGCTTAAGTGACCGTCACTCACTCTCATCTCACATAATGACTCCTTTCAGTCTGGGTAGGCATTGTTGTTGTATGTTATATATGAATAATTTACAGTTGATGGATTATTTATGCCTCTCAGTGACTGTGTTTCATTTGTCTGGCCTATTTAATTACAAATTATATGATTTCTGCCTTTCATCGGCCTTCTCAAGTTTCCCTTTGACTTATTATTATGAGCACATTAGATTAAAACGTCCTAAACTGCATTGGCATGGTATTAATTTTGTGCAATTACGCATATTTGAGGATCTATCAAACCTGTAGCCACTAGTGGGCGCGCTTGTATTTGGAATCGAGGATTAAGGAAGGTGATACATGCAAAACAAACACGGATAAACTTAAAATATCCTCTATAATATGAGTTTATAACTATTATTTTATAAGTATTTTGTGTGTTTTCTTCTCGCCAGCACGAAGAGAACGTGTCTTCTTAACAATATTCGCATATTACCCACAGAGCTGCTTTAAAGAGGATTAAGTGAAGCTGTCGCAAAGTGTCGTAAAGCGGTTGGCGGCTGGTGGGGATGCGGCGCCCCCGTGCGGCGCTCCGGGTAAAAGGCTGTGTTGTAGCAGTAGCCAGCCAACAGACGACCTGCTGGGTAAACAACAGTGGATGCCTCGGAAGGCAGGAATGGGAACTTCGTCGAGGGCAAATAGTGAGACATTTCTATCTTGTCAAGTAGAGACGTAACGGAGAGGTCGTGCTGCCTTTCGAGGGTCGCTAGGATTCGTTCGCGAGTCAAAATGGCTGAGTATAACCGAGTGTTTGATGAGTGAAGTGGAGCTAGCCTTAGCTTAGCTCGTAGCCTTCCAGGGCCCATTGCCTTCGATTTTGCTTCTCGGCTCAGCTCGGGACTGTGTTGTCAGTTTCACAATCTCAGCCACTGCCGTCCTCGGGTCGCGATTTCTGTGTAGGCCTGCCTAGTTGCAGTCAGGGCTGAAATTGAGATAACTGTCCGTTTTCAACGCTTGTTGTTATTCCCCACAGGATTTAACCTCGCATGTTACAAAAAGGACGGTGACACATTTTGAAAAAAGGACTTAGACCCAGGTACGTGTTGTCTTTGTTGTCTTCTGTCTGGAGTATTTGTCAGGCTAAACGGCTGTCTGTCCACTGTGGTTTCTCGGCATTCGTTGTCGGAATAGTCTTAACATTCACGGCCAGCACTAGATAATTTATATTTTAGTGTTTCTCTGTTGGTACATCTGGCCTCAGTCACTTCAGCAGCGTTTGTGGGACACAGACAGACTGCAGCTGGGCTCATTGTAATTGTTAAGCGTTGTAGAAACTATGCTTAGCCTCAGTTTCAGCCTCGATAACCTAAATAAATCTATGTAGCTCTGTTTTTTTTTTTTTGCTTGTCTGATCAGTATGGTTTCACAGTCTCAAAGTACTGTGGGTATCGGTAGTCCTGCCTCAGTCGTACATCTTGAATTGGTTTGCTGTTGCCATTTCTGCTACACCATACATTTTCTCCTGGAAGTAGTTCCTGCGAGTTAATTTGTTAGTAGCTGCGAAATCTCTTGTTTTTTTTCTGCTCGTCAGTGATAAATATGTGTTGTTATTATTCAGCCTTGTTGCTTGGGGATTTTTCTTCCTTCTGGGCTGTCCTTTAAGGCCCTGAATTCATGCATGTCATTGCGCAGCTTTCTCTGTGGCATCTGAAGGACTCTCACTCACCAGTGAGCTTGATATAAAAGCATTAAAAAAAAAAAGAGCATTGTTGCATGTGTCATTGGTGGGAGCACTAAATCCAACAGTTGCATTGACTTTCAGAGCAGATCACCCCCTGGCAACATGAACCCCAACATCCATCCCTCTTGTCACAGAAGTTGCATCTTCAAATCAAGTGACAGCCCGGCATACAGTTATAAAATAGGCTATAAATGAAGAATTCAGAGCCATTTTTGGGTGCCTTTTTTCTGTCTGTTAGAAAATGAGATGCTCTCCAACATACATTAACATTGTGCACAAATGCCGATACAAATACAAATACCCTGCAGCAAATGGGATCAGGAATGTTGTTGTGTTACATTTCTGCCAAGGCAGTGCTAGAGAAACAGCAAACTCTGTACTATTATTTGTAGCTGGGACTTGCATCTTAAAGAGAATGGCTTTTGCATTTCCTAACGACTGACCTTGTGCAGGAAAATGATGTGTTAAAAATGGTTTGAGTGCAGTAGCTGGCAGTGGGACGTCCAAATGTTTTAATGTTTTGAGTTGTGCGGTCCCAGCAATCAATGTGGATGGGACTAACAAAGCACTGGTTTTGTTTTTTTGTGTGTTGTATTACATCACTTGCACTTCCAGATGGCCACATAGAAAGTGGCTGGTACAATATGTTCCGAAATCACTTTCTGAAATAGTAGCAGCATGATTTTTGTCTTCTGATTACATCATATCTAGAAGTGTGGTCGGCTTGTTGCTGTGGGTGATATCACCACGTGCATGTAGTGCATACGACTGCGCGCAAGTTATGTGACTGTTCGCTGAAAACCACAGGTCCTCTGCTGTACGTTTGCAACACCTTTAGTTTATGACACGGCACTTTCCGCAGCAGAGATATGTATAGGTGATGATGCCTTCTCTTCCTCCGTCGAATTTGTTCTGAACCCGTGAGAACACGTGTTGAAGTCTGAAAAACATAGTTGGGTTATTCACACAACGGTGCTGGATCAGTACTGGAGCAGATCGAAACATCTTTTCACTGGAATAGTACCAGTTATATAAAGTCTGAGCTATAATAGATCTTCATTGTATTGTAAAGCTTTGCATTCTGGGTACACTACATGTAAAAAAACAAAACAAAAACACAACTCCCATTGAAACTCTGGAATCGATTCCTAACAGACAGTGATATTACAGTATTTTGTCACTGATATCACAATGTAAGGCGGGGGTGGGCAATCCTGGTCCTCGAGGGCCACAATCCTGCATGTTTTAGACGTTTCCCTCTTCCAGCACACCTGATTCAAATGATCAGCTCATCATCAAGCTCTGCAGAAGCCTGATAACGACCCTGATCATGTGAATCAGGTGTGTGAGGGACACATCTAAGACATGCAGGATTGTGGCCCTCGAGGACCAGGATTGCCCACCCCTGATGTAAGGGATAGTGGATATGTGATATATTGCAAGAGAGTAATCTACATTACATCAGGTTATTTACAGTAAAGTATGAATTGCATTTAAAGATGTTTTCAGTTTATTGGCTGCTGCTGATGCCACTCAGACCCTCTTGTCCCCCCGGTGTTGTAACCCGTGCCAGTGCCAACACCACTGCTGGCTGGCAAAAGGGTGTAGTCAGCCTCTGAAAGTACACACGAGACCAACTTTTTGTTTTGTTCCTAAATTGTAGAAATGATGGAATTTGGCATTTTTCTGGGAGACCTTAAACCGCAGTGAAAAATTCCCCCACTGCAGCACACTTAAAGAGCCTCTTGGGATATACTTGTTACTGCACCCAAATATAGCCCCAACCGTCTCAAAGTCATGACATAAACATGAGAGTTACTTTCATGTTGGATATTCCCTTTGAGATCTCGTTTTGATTTAACCTGATTCATGCGTCGCCTGGAATAAACACTGAAGCAAACACATCAGTATTGAATCATCCGTTGCTTTTGACTCAATCTTTGCGTGCCTGTTTTCTATCTTTAATCAGCAGGCTTGGGTCACGCAGTCTTAATGTGTACCAACAAACAGAATGGCTTAGTGAAGGAACATATTGCCCCACATTAAACACCACAAAGCATTGTTATGTTTGTAGTAATGTTTGTTTGATTGGACTGTGAGATGCTGGAAAGGTTAATGTTGAATAATTCAGTGTAGATAGCATAAAGACATACGTAATTATCATATTGTCTGTATTGCAAAAAAAAAAACGTATGGATGTGGTCAGACATTTAGAGAACAGTTTACAGTAGTTTTTCTGTTTTTACTAAATGTAGTAGTAGTATTAGTATACTAATACGATATTAGTAGTAGTTTATAGTCATTTATGTAGTCATTTGTGCTTTAATGTCGACCTTTGAGGAATAGAATTATCTTTAAAAAGCTTTGTATGTAGTTCAAGACAAGACTCAACCAAAGTCTAGCGATATCTGATGCTTTTGGTTCTTCTGTGCTCAGACTGTAGAAGAACTTTTACATTTAATAAAGCTAATTTAAATGTTGTTGTACTCACTTAGCTGATCAAACTACTGCTAATGTCTTACGTGCTCCGTGAAGTCAAGTTGATCTTTTCAAGTCACCTGATATTTTTTGAGCCTTTAATTCATTTACTATTTTCAGCATTAATGAATGAATTAGTACTTAGAATATTTTTAGCTCATCGGTCAGACCTACATTTAGATGAGAACGCTCTTTTCCTTTTATGTTGTGTTGAGGGGCTTATGTGTGTGTGTGTGTGACTCTTTTTCCTTTCTTCTTTTTTTTTTTGCTAGGTTTTGTGCAATGCATTGGACGGATGCCTAGGAATTAATGCGAGTGCACTTGGTGTTTGCCTTGTGAGGACAGACCTGCCACCATGAAGAGTGAGGTGCCATCTGAGGCCGCCAGCAGACAGGAGCATCTGAAGGAGCCACTGGTGAACCCAGAGCCCATGGAGGCAGCCAAGAGCTTCCCTAACAACATGGAGGTGATTGGAAAGGCTGGTAGCGACTTTGAAACCCTGTGTGAGCCCAGGCATCGGCCCTTGAGGGACACGGGGACACACAGAGACTCAGAACGGAGCCTCCCCGGGCGCAGAAAAAGAAAAGGCCAACAGGCAGGGCCGTCAGACTGCTCGTTGAAAGAGGGCCACATCAGTGAGAGTTCACTGGCACCTCAGCGCCCCAGAGTAGAACTTTTACAGCACCCCAGTGAGGATGAACATAATCATGAGTCCTCTTTTAGTGACTGTGCTTCCTCCCCTTCATCGAGTCTGCGATTCGGGGATTCGGACACTCTCAGTTCAGAGGACGATGGGGAAGCTGGAGCAACAGGGGGCCAACACAAGGCTCCTGCCCTGACAACAGGAGGGGCCACTGGAGTTGGCCTGCGCCCTGTTCTGGGTCGAACTCGGGGGAACCGCTCTCATAAGTGGGTGCGGTCTGAGACTGAGCCTGTGCTGCTGAAGCGGCCGTGTCTGAGCAGCCGACGGCCTCTGCATAGGAAACGCTTTGTGAAAACAGCTCCTGGAGGAGGTCAACGGACGCAGAAGCAAAAGGAGCGACTACTACTGCAGAGGAAGAAACGTGAAGTGATTGCACGTAGGAAGTATGCTCTACTCCACAGCACCAGTAGTTCGAGTGATGAGCTGAGCAGTGACTCTTCCTCCCCCTCTTCTACCGAAGCAGAGGACGAGCTGTATGTAGATGTCAGCAGCACCAGCAGTCAGCCCAACAGTGCTGCTGTAGCCACAGGTAATTACAAATTACTCTGGTACAGATTTATCGTTGAGTTGCGTTTCACAGCATGAGATATGTTTTTGTAGGCTCTCTCATGTAGTTAAGAGAGTTGGAAACCAAAAGGGTTGGCTTGCATAGCATAAAGCTGTGCCATCACAGAGTAACACTACAGAGGCCAGACTGTGTAATCAGGATCAGGCATTATGAGTTTGTATTTTTTTGATTTATGTATGTATTTTATCAATAACCAGTCAGCGAAAGAAGATTTAGATTTACACAGTACATCAGGGCCTTTTTCTGTTTGTCACTAGACAACATGGGCTTCAGAAGCATTAGCAGACAAAGTAATACATCACAACGTGGACATGTATTTGTGTGATTGTTTCTAGCAGTTTGTTTAAAAAAAGAAAAGAAAAGGCAAACAGTACCATCACAGTAATGGAAATTATGTTTCCTGGAGCGCACAGGCACAACAATCTCGAATGCTGCAGGAAAAAATGCAGTCCAGCATGAATTAACATATTTTAATCGAAGTACATTGATGCAACGTGAAATTAATATGCACTGAAAAGCCGAACCGAACCACAGGGAGGGCTGGTGCTGGAGACGAGGTGAACGTGTGTCATGCAGTTTGCAGCGACAGCTTTTAATCACAAAAAAGGTCGCCGGAGTGGTGCATTTTTAAAAATCCAAATGACCTCAATAGGCATATATTAGAGACTTCCAGCTCCCCTCATGGCACAATAAGGATTTAATTGGCTATAGCAAAAGTGTGATGATTGTAAAATGTCTCACTAAGAGAGCATTTTCCCTGGAAGGGGCCACGAGTGACTGAGCTGTGCTGGCATGAGTGTTTTGGTAACTAACCTAGACCGTGGCTGATGTCTGTAAGCACAAACAGGAATGCAGGAGTGAAACTGAACTTCAAACCGCAGAGATCCACATGGAAGCTACACCAGTACTGAGCGCTGAACACAGAAAGACTTTACAAACGGAGAGTTTGCACTCGTATCCAGCACAGACACCCGAGTTGATCTACTGAAGACGTAGCTTAGAGCAGGAGACTGTCACAGGTCGGCCCTGCTGCCAAGAAGAACCACAGCGGTGCGGCTAGCCCCTGCTATGAGGCAGTAGGGCAAACGCACGTCATTAGGGCTCAGCTTGCCATGGCGTGGCTAAAGCATGCTAACACAGGCTAATAGGAAACTCGATTATCGTCGATTTACTGAAGCAGGATCCAGAATCTTGAGGTTTTCATTTCACACGAGCTGATTTGATTCTCCCTCTCTCTGGTGTGTTCGTCTGGTGCTATGTAAAGACACAACTTGGTGAAAATGCAATAAACTGTACTGCAGCTTTTGCCTGCAGCTTTTCATTAATGTGATAAATGCTACAACATACATAAGACAATATTAGGCACTCCTGAAAAATGAATAGCTACCCCGCTGTGCTTCTCAGAGCCCAACACTTTACATGTGATAATGGAAACTAGGCTCGTTACAATAATTACATAATCGCATGATCAGTTATTTAAACTGATTTTGCATAATCGTTAAAATAGTTTCCCTTCATCTGTTTGAAAACAGCTGAAACTAACAAAAGTCATATTTCCGTCACTGTTTCCGTGTAGTTTCCTGCCTTTTGCCGTTTACCATTTGCATCCTCCTCTTCCGCTATAGTTTCAACTGTTTATTTCAACTGACGAGCATCTATTGACATGAACACTATGGATTTAGTCGCAAAGCCAAATGCCGTACCGCTCCTGTGGGCACATTTTACTTTTAAGACAAACTCTGAAACTGATGGAGGCAGAAAATGATCAGAGAAAGACAAATCGTTAGCTTCGATTATTCGTGTAGTGGTTATGCAACTGTCGGAGCCTTAATAGAAACTGCTGCCCTCTGTACCTGTTGGAATAACCGGTTTCTACGGCTCCTTCATTCAAACCACAACTTTTCCACACTCGTTTCCAGCGAGCGAGCGAGACTGTGAGAATGAGATCCTTTGAAAAGCCCCACCTCTATCTCGGCTCATTGTTTCTTTCATGTAGCCATTTAGCCTCAGCAATATTTCTGCTGCTGTGGCCCTCGGGGAGAATGGAAAGTTAGCTGTTGTGCCTCGGTGGTGGGAGGCAGGTGGGAGAAAACTCAGACACTGTTGAGCAGCAGCCTTTGCATGGAAACAGTGTGTCTCGGAGGAGAAACAAGGCATTTGTTTACAGCAGGAAGAAAGCAAAGGAGGCAAGTGATGAAACCTGCCTTTCAAATGTCCAGAGGTTGGAGCAGGTGTGTGTGATGTACCTGGGACAGAGTCTAGTCTTACCTCAACAAGTAAAGATAATAAAACAATATCTTAACTAAGCTTATGATAAATGCAAGTTACACCTGTGATCATACTAGCGACTGGCTGATCGATCGGCCGCCTACGTTGGACTTTAGGAAGTGATCACATGTGACTGATTGTATTTTAATTTGAGTGTTTGTTATCTAGTCGTGTTAGGACTGGCAGTACAAGATGGTGTTTACCTCACCAAACAGAGCAAGTTAGAATGGGTTGTTGTTTGTGTGCCTGCGTGAAGGCTTTACCAGAGTGTCAGGCAGCTAGACTAGCAGAGGGTGCTAAGCAGCAGTTCTCATGAGGCAGCTGGAATAGAAATTACACAAGGGAATTATGGGCTCCACTATCATGGCAATCCACTTAGTGATGCGCACAGAAACAGTCCGTACTACCGACGCATACAAAGTGTGCAGACCAACTTTGTCAGGAAGTCATTTCAGTAGAAGCTACTTTAAAATGGTCTCGGTTGTTTTAAAAGGCTCCTATGGATCAGATTTTCTGCTTAAAAATGAAAGCAGTGTTCATATTCATTTACATTTTGAAAGGATTTCATCGTATTGGTAATAATAATCAAACATATCTCAAAGTCTCATCTGACAGAATGACATCTGCGTTGAACCATAAAAGTTTCGTATGAGATTTACATTGAAGGCTTAAGCGAGCGAATGTGTAAGTTTGACTCACACACCCGATGCATGAGTCAGCAACTTTCACTTGCACTGAAAAATTGCGGCAATAATTAGAAACAGGCGTAAGACTGAAAGCACGATTAAACCTATAATGCCTTTGACTATGTGCTGTATATTATCTTCACCACGAGCAGGGACTAAAATTACAGATTTATGTCCGGACTTAACCCCACTACAAACCCATAGATTAAGCTGCGTGTTCAGTTACTAAAAAACACAGAGTTTACTTGCTGTCATTACCCTCCCGTGGCGCAGGCACAGTCTCCATTAAGACAGAAAAGGAAAAACGATGCATTTGTCTCAAATTAGTTTGCCGTGACTAACTTGTTTGTGATGAACAGGGTTCCTTGTGTACGATGTGGGTGGCATTAATGCACGCGCAAGACGCCAGTTGAGTTATATAACATACAAGTCACGAAATTGTAAATCACAAAATTGGAATCGGTATTTAAAAAGCTCAAAATATATGAGTGTGAATTTTGTTATTTGAATGTGTGAATGTTGGGGTCCTTGGTGTCTTCTGTATAGTCTGTCACAAAATAAGTTTTTGCAAAGTGTAGTACTTGCATGTAAATTATAAAACACAACTTTGTTTCAGTTGATCCATCACTGCAACCATTTACTGCAAAGACTTTGTCAAACCCCCCAGCAGACACAAACAGCTGCAGACGCCACAGATGCACAGGTTTTGTCATCATACTACTTTCTAGACTGCTTGGAGTCTGCTGGAGGACTCAGTCCCATACATGCACACCCTTGTGGAAAGTCTAATGCTGGCTTTAGTGAACACACTTAGTGAACCAGCGCTCAACTGAGTAAAATCTGCACGTGTGTTTATTGGTTGTTAGATCATATCAGTTTATTTGTTTTCATTTATTCTCCCATGTGATTCCTGGTTATTAAACTGTCAAAATCTAGTAGAGAGAGTAAAAATTCAGAAGATAAACTACAATATGTATTTGCCTTATTGTGTGTCTGGTGTATTTCATCCCTGTACAAACTTCCGCTGGTGTGTTCAGGTGCTCTGGACGAGGATGTGGTGGTGATCGAGGCATCTCCAGCTCCGGCTCCTGCTGTCCCTGCGAGCGAGGAGATCAATGTCACGTCGACAGACAGCGAAGTAGAGATCGTCACAGTCGGAGATGGATTCAGGTAGGCACCTCAGCTCTACAGCAGGCTGAATGAAATAAAGCGTCGGACGGTGTGACTCGGCCTCGAGCGGTGTGATCTTTGCTTTGCAGAATTAAATAGATTCGTATATGAATTCGACCTCTAGATGTGTGTTATAATGATTCTCTACATGTAAGGTAATGTTGGAATGTGGCTCTGGTATAGTGCTAAGACTTGTGAACACATATTTGTCAAAGAATCAAATAACGAGTAAAGTAATCAGATATTCACCAAGGTATTAAAAAAGCTGAGTAATTATTGCTGGTTCCTTTTACTGCCAGACGAACGCTACAGCTCCATGTCCTCGCCACTCGTGAGTTTTGTGGGTCTTTGCGTAGCCCCCCTACTTCCACCAGCTTGATTTGATTATCCCGCCTGCAACTGTCGCACATTGCAAGAACTTAAAATTTCATTCGTAGCCTTATCAAACCACATACAGTTGTGTTCCATGTCTCCATACTCAGTGTGTATTCAGCTTGTTTTGCTCGAGCCATCGTAGCTGCCTTGTGCGGTTAACCAGTGGACTAAATATTATAAACTTGCACTCATAAGGTATGGCACTCTCAAACCGGGCAGTGGTAAAAACGCTATGATAGTGTTTTGTATACTTAGCAGCATTCATTAAAGATCCATTCGAGACAGTTTGAGATTCTGCAGCTGCAGGTGTGACTCAGTTTGCTGAAGTGCAAACAATGCGTGAGAAAATACCACAGAGAATATACTAATGCGGGTTTTGCATGCATTTAGCCTTTCCTTTTAGACAGTTCACAGTTTTTCAGGGGCAGGAAACATGGGTAGAGTCACGGACAGGAAAGGTATCCGGCCAGATTCAAAACGATGCGATGATATATTATAAAGATAGGGTCAGAGTTAGGGATGGCACAAGAACAGACACCAAGTCAATGCAGGTGCAGCAACTGGTCCACTGCGACATAAGACACAACAAGAGTTGTTTAGGGAGACTTCTCGTGGATTAATCATAGCAACTGGACTTGCTTTAGTTCCTTGAAGACGTTCCACCTCTCATCCAAGAGGCTTCATCAGGTCTGACTGACTAGCTGGGAGTTGGATGCTGCTCGTTCCAGTAGGCTACCAACTTTATCGTTTATTGTGTGTGCTAGAGCACCCCAGTGTAAAATACGAGTTTTATGTTGAAATATCAATCCAACCATCCATTATCTATATATAATCCTCACTGGGGTCGTCGGGGGCTGGAGTCTATCCCAGCTGACTTAGGCAGGGGGAGGCCAGGGCGACACTTAGAGACAGACAACCAAGCACACTCACATTCACCAATTAACCTCAACATGTTTTTGGACTGTGTGAGAGGAAGCCGGAGAACCCGGAGAGAACCCACGCTGCGTGGGGAGAGCATGCAACTCCACGCAGAAAGATCCCGAGTGTCCTCACCGGGACGCGAACCGGCAACCTTCTAGCTGCGAGGCAACGGTGCTAACCACCATGTTGCAACACATTCATTTAATATTCTGTGCTTGGTATCGATGGTCGTGGTGCTGACTGCCAAATTTCTGGTATCGTTACACCCCTACTCTGAGCAAAGTGCAACCTGCTTTTGCAATATTATTTTAAAATACATTTTTTTATGGCTTCTGATCCAATCAGAAATAAGCTGAGGTTGGAGTTCCAGTAGAACAAACCGTAGATTGATGGGTTAGGATTGCAGAGCTATAAATCAATGCACAGGCAGGGTGGAAAGTGTCAGAAATGTTATTGATTATCACAATTATCAGAGAAATGTTCTCTTGTGAATAGCCAAGATCTGTTGGAGCCTGTGGCTTATTAAAGCTTTTCAGTAACATTTACATGACCGGTCATGTGCTGTTGTTCCCCTTTCTTTAGAACACGAAGAACCCCTTTTCGCTGTAGTCATCAGCTGTATTAGTTATTCTATTTATATGTTGTTTTTACTGCTGTAGTCTGTATGTCTGCTGGCTTTTATACAGCAGTAGGTTGACATGTTGCGGTGTTACTAATGTCTGCTTTTGGAGCGGTGCTATATGTGAACTTGGGTGTTAATCAATAGCATTCCCTCTCTCCATCGGGGGATTGAGTATTTTATAACTGAGTAGCAGTGTGGTGTGTTCATGAGCCTGCCACACATGTGATTGTGCTCATAAACAAGCAACAAACTGAAGCAGTGTATGTGTAACCTACAAATGCTCAGTTTAAATATGCAGCGGATGATGCAGCAAGAGAGGACAAAAAGTTTACAGTGACATTTACATTTTTTTTTGCCATTAAACATGTCTTGTTTGGAAATATATTTCTTTATGTATAAATTAAAGATGGCCAAAAAAATGTCTCTTTATGAATGCCCTTATTGTTGTGTGTGTGTGTGTTGATACCAAAACTTAAAGGAGAAATTGCTTAAATAACGAGGGTTTATTCCGTGATTTCAGGCCTGAGCGCTCTGGCTTCTTATTCACATCGAACGAGCTGACATCATGTGTTGCTGAAATGAATCGCGGCTCTGTTGCTTGGCTTTACTTGCGCTGCTCGCAGTGGAAAGCTGAGAAAAGCGGAACTTGTGGCACCAGTTATCAAATCGCATTTTAATTCAAATTGCTGTTATCAGTACGCCAGCAAAGACAAACATCACACATGTGCAACATCAGCTTTTAATGCTCCACGTGAGTCCTGCTTTGGTCTTTTAGAAGTAGCTCGATTTTAAATAGAGAAGCTCTTAATACTTTCTGCCCTCCTGGACTTTTTGTTTACAGTGATACTAGGTTATGATATTCTGCCGTTGTAATCATTCCTGTGTAGTATTTTCCTTATTGACGCTCTACTGTGGCTGCTGCCTGTATCGCTGCGTGTAAGCAGGTGTTGCAATCTTGATAAAGCTAGAAGAAGGAGTTAAGCGCAGATTGCTAATTGCTTGTGTTTAAAGATAAGTTGCTGGTTGGGGTGGAGCGCTTCAGCAGATTTTGCTTTGCTCATGAATTCTACGGCTCTGCTTACGCTGCCCAGAGAAAGCCGCCGTAGTGGAGCTGCATGCCTACTTGTTTATAGCCATGAAACCACATCACTCCGAGGGGACCTGCTCAGTGCTCCTTTTTATTTAACTTCCTTTACGAAACATCGTAGAGCCAACCGACTGTCTGGCTGCAGGTTTATAATTAGAGCGTCTCATAGGTGGATGGCAGATGGAGTGGCAGGGACGAAACTTTGAGGAGGTCACGTATTAAAACCATACGTCAACAACAACAACAACAACAAGTGATGGACAAACACCACAGGAGGTGTTTGAGTATTGCTATAAAACATGTTTACCCAACATTCCTAATAACCTGATTGTGTTTTTCCAACCGTCCAAGCCTTTCTAAATTGTTGATAGTTTGTTTTGAAGACAGTTTGAAAACCAGAACAAGTTCACACACATATACATGACAGTGATAGCTGAGATTGTTTCCCTGGTTATGATATCCGTGCATAAAATATCACGTCTTATTCAGTTTTGCATCACGTGTGACAGAGAAAAGCATAAAATCTCCACATCTGAGGAGTCAAAACATCGAGTATTTGACATTTTTGCATCAGTTTTAGCTGCTGATGAATTTGTTGTTCAACTATTTCGTTAACAAAACATGCAGCTCTGTTAGATTTTCATTAAAAGATTCACCGTTTTGTCTCCATGTTACACAAAGATTTAGGCAGAAGATGTTTGAAAAATTACCAGTGAGGTGAAATGTGAATCCTTTAGATTTGAGTGCCAAACAAATAACAAACTGTCTCGCCAAATCCGCTTAATAGCCATCATTCCTCTGTACATACTGATACGGCCCTTTGAAAGGAAATGGTTAAATAGGGGAGCTGACAGTGTTTTTTTGAACATGGCTTAAGCATCTATACGGAAATATACCGGGGATAAAAGAGGAGATAATCTGAGGGCTGGATCGTAGTTCTCTGTTTCTCAGAGGAGCTGCTGAATATTTATAACGTGAGAGCAATGCATTTAGAAGAGATGTATGCCATTGTCATCCTCTGCAGCCACTTCCATTTTCCTCACCCCTCTGAGAGTCTTACTTCCCCATTCTCATAACATGACCTCCTGTCTCAGTACTCCCCTAATTCCTCATGTAGGCGATTATGCAGCTGAATTCACCAACCTCTGCCTCTGTGTTAACCTCCATCTGTCTCCCTTTTTTATTTTTTTTAAAACTCTCCTCCCCGTCCCCCCCACTTCATATTAACGTATCAGCGATATCTGGAAATAGTTCCTGGAAGTGATTACGCCGAGCTTGGAATGTCACGGCTTGTCTAATCTGCCTGTTTTCCTCACTTTCAAAGATGTCCTGTCTCGCTGGAGAATGTAGGGATGAGCCTCGCTGAACGGGGGGATGGGCAGCAGCAGAGCAGGAGGGCGGGGAATCAAAAGGCCAACAGAATGAGCAATGAAATCTTTGTTCACACAGCCACTTGTCCAATTTGGGAATGTGTGTGATTTAAGTCAATACAGGGACAATATGCATACAACCCTGCAGATTTACTGACTTTTTGTAGTGTTTGGGAAATCAAGATTTATCATTGACTGGTCAGCTGGCTGAGTGGCTACATATGATGTGATTTATTTCATTTTGACTCTGTGCAGTTTCATTTACTTTAACAGGCTTTGCGGTGCTTTTATAGGCACAATTAGGTTTGTTTTAATCAAGTAAAATGATATGATTTATACACCACAAAGCCTGCAGTATAGTTTTTCTAGTATTTCTATGTAACCCAGGACATGAGAGTCGCAGTCTTTAACTTTTGCAGCACAAAGGTTTGGACAGGATTTGGACAACTTCTCTTTATTCTCAGCTTGTACAAAATATGCAAGTTTAAATTCAGGTTTGCAACACTTGCAGAAAAACAGAATAAAAGCTTCTGAAATCAAGTCAATGCGACCGTTTTCAACCCAAACCTGTGCCTCTCACATTGCTCAGTGACATGCTGTCACTGCGATTATCTCAGATTTGACCTGCTGACTGCCATTTATTTGTTCATGCGCTTCCACAATTGAGTCACTTGCAAAGCAGTGCATTAGGAGAAGATTCCAGTGTTTTAACGGTGCACTGTGGGCCGCATTTGGCAGCTGTTTTACCCGAAGCGCAGTGAGATACAATAAACATGGATTATGTGGCTGACATGGATCAATCAAAAGGCCTTGATCAGTCCCTGCCCTGATTCTGCAGATCAGCTCAGGACATGCATATCAGTAGAGTCACAAATGGTTTGAATATTATCAGACTTTCTGTGAGTAGTGCACAAAACACATTTCTGTCTTCAGAGTTTTAGCTAGTTGTCAGCTCAGAGAACTACAAATCCTAAATTATGAGGACATATTTAATGTGTTTGTTGGTGCAAAGCTTAAATCCTGAGCTTGTTTACCACTTCTACACTGTGCTGTTCTCGCCTTATATTATCTCCTCCTGTCTACTCCCTAACTCCCAGCCTTAGCTGTCCATAGCATCAGTCCCAGCAGTTTACATTACCGCAGTGCTCTGATCCCCGGGGTGTGTGGCTCACATCACTTTGGCTTGGCACAACCTCAGCTTTGCCAAGCTACCCATTCCCATAGTGTTCATATTTACAATGTACTGTTTTCCTCTTTGCTGCCGCACCCCCCCACCCTCAGGGCTTCACAGTGGTAAACAGATATTTACAAAATAATCCCAGGTCTGCTTAATTAGGAACTCATCCCAAGTGGCTAGTCCTGCTCCTTGGGATCAACCCAGAGCTGAGGAGGCTGGCCAATTACACCTCAACACAACCACCACCAACCCCCCCTACATACCACCCTCACTGCTGTGTGCTCTGTACGGGGTTGCAGCCGTGTGTCTGTGTTTGTTTGCATATTCTGCACAAGTTTGCTTTAGCGATTTGTGAAGCATGGAAGTTAATAAGCTTCCTCCCTCTATTCCACTGGCATTGTGCAGCTTGTCTCACAGGAAGCTGAATTGGATGCAGACAGTATGAGCTAATGGGAATCCCCCTTATCACAGACAGCAGTGAGGAAGGCATTTCCTGTGTTAAACACATCCAAGGAATGCGATCAAAGCAGGCAGTTAATTGAGTAGTTTACAAAATGAGGAATAGATCACTAATTTAACCAGTTGGTAACATCACAAAACGTTAGTCACAGTAAATGTTTTAGGCACTAACAGTAAAGTGAAGAAGCTTTCAAAAAACAATGTCATGAACACTTCATGCAAACAGAAACAACACACAATTTTTGAGAGTAGTTGGCAGCAGAGATGCACGATTAACTGAGTATTAATTTCGACTTCCCAAAATGAAAAATACATGATTGACTGCAGCATTGATTGAAAACTCGCCTTATAGGAAACAGCCTGTGTAGATGACATCGCTTGGTTTCAGTTTGCATAAATGTGACATCACATCGCCTTAGTTCAAGTAAGTTGTGATCACACACCTGTCAGAGTTGCAGCAGTAACTGAGTGAGGAGGCTGCAGGCTTCCCTCTGCTCAGATACTTAATACATACTTGGGAAGTGCAGTGAAAAGATTTTGTTCTGCCGATTAATAATTGTGATCTCAATATCGATCGAAGTCGTCGTGATTATCATTTTGGGGCGTAAACATGCAGCCCTGCTTGTCAAGTGGGTTGTTGCAAGAATCTTAGAGAACATTCAGTGTGATTTTAAAGCTTTCTCAGGGTCTTCAAGTGACTCCTTGATGTGGAGAACAGCTCTGTGGGTTCATACCATCTGTACTATACACCTCATCTGTCACTTCTTTTACTCTAGCCGTAATGAAGCACATAATTCCTATTGGACTTTTCTATTCTGTTTTCTTTTTGCTTTTCAATCGAGGGGGAAATATTTTCGGAGGTCTTACAGCTAACACAAAGACGAGCTTGTTACAGCTTGTTGTGTTGACACTCAGAGCCCATTTAAAGCCTCCAATTCACCTGACCTGTCTGTCTTTGGTCAGTGGAAAATCTGAGCAAACACAGAGAAAGAAATCATTTATATATGGATTATTTAGTCAAGTTTCTATGAGTTAATCAGTAAGAATCACTGAGCAACTCTATAATCTGAGTTGATCCATCTGAAGCTGTGCTGTTGGCAATCAGCTCCACTCATTTCCCACTGCTCATGTGTGTGTTTTTTTTTTTTTTTTTTTTAAATCTCTCATTTAGCAGCAGCGAAATCCCCCCTCGCTACGCAGCTCCATGGTATCCAGCTTTACGGCACTCCCATACAGTCTCTTGTCTCTTGTCCCTCGGGTTCATTCCTCTGATCACCTGGTTTTCCAGCACCGTGGAGGGAAATGTGGCTATTCCCCAACCTTTCACTCCAGTCTCAGAGGCCAAGGGGCAGAGCAACAGGAGCCTTTGAGAGAGAAAATTAAAAGGAAGAGAAGAAAAAGGGCCAAAGGCAGGCCAAGAGAGAGGTGCAGAGCATTTGAGCGAACTGTAGGAAAGAAAAAAGGTGTTTGGAAAGAATGGAAAGATTTAGATTTCAGTGGTGGTGGATGCAGAGCTCCGTCATGGCAGTCCTGAGAGAACAAGCTGTAGTTTCTCATGAAGCTTTCACACAGATGGCTTAATTCTTTTAAAACAGAGCTGAAAATGGACACGTGCCAACCGAAAGACTTTATGCTTTTATTATATTCCCTCCATGCACCTGCATTAGGCTTTTAAATCTCGTCGTGCGTGCTCCGTGTATACAATGACAATAAAGGAATCTAATCTTATCTTAGGTGTTCAAGGACGTTTGATTTTATGTTTGTATGTTTGCCACATAGTCCTGCCATGCACAGTTTTTTTAGACACTGCAGTGAAAGCAGTGTGCTACACCAGCATCCTTTTGTCAGAGCGGCTGCTGTCCTGGACATGAACTTGGAGTGTCTGGCTCTGGTGTAGCAAATGCTTCACTGAGCTGTGAGAATATTCCTGGTGGTCCTGCACTTCAGTTTGGTGTAACAGGTGTTCTTTTTTTTTTTTCAATGTCTGTACCTCCACAGGTCACGCTCAGTGGGTGGTCTTGGCAGGATTTGGGCTAATAGTTGCTCCCAGAATCGTCTCCAGGAGCCACGTGGACGTCACAGACTCTCCACTGTCATCCAACCACTGCGTCAGAATGCTGGGGAGGTGGTGGACCTCACCGTCGATGAAGACGGTAAGTTCTCCATCCACGCACGTTTTAGCCACGTCTGATAACTGAGCATAGTTTTCAGTGAAGTCTCACTTCTCTACTTGTCTGCCTCCCACCTGTGTGAATAATGTGTTCTCTATGCAAGCTGTTGTATATGTGAAATAGGATCTATGCTTTTTACTGTTGTATCTCAGTGTTTGTGTGGCTTGTCTTTTATGTGCTTGACTTTTCATTTTTCACCCTGGACTTTTTTTGTCAAGGTGTTTCAGTCCTTCTAGTCATTCCACATGTCAATGTCTTGATTTGTTTATTGTTTATTTTTCAAATTTAGACACACAATAAGAGCTCTATACAAGATTTAAGGAGCCAGTGTGCTAATGATGACTGTTACCAAAAGCAATCTTAAACATGCAACCTCAACCACTACCCTAATTATTTACATTTATATTTGTATTTACATTATACGAGCACTTTGTTTTGCGTAAAAGTGGACTGCTTTGCAAACTTTGTCGTTTGTGTCTTGAGTCGTGTGTCAGCCTCTTGAACGGCCCACGCCCATGATGGATAGCAAAATGGTAGGGCACCGAGTATTAGAGTATTTGCATTTCTTAGGAGAAAGAGGGGAAATTAATTTGTGAATATGAAAAGCAGATGGAGTGCACACACTGGAATGCTAATAAGATCTGCTCCTCGACTCCGCGGCTAAGCCTCTGCAGACAAGTACACACATGCTACAGTCCACACTACAATTATTCTTTTGCAGAAAAAAAAAAAAAGCGTCAAGCTGGATTTTAGGTGGTCACGTGAACTGTGAAAATTGTGCTTTTAGACAACAAAGAAACGTAGAACTGGTACATCTAAGGGTTGTTGCATTATGAGGTTTGTTATTTTTGAATGCTAATGAGGCATAAAAGGAATCGCATTAATAGAACAGATAGGTTTGGAACCACAAATGCAGTCACAACCCAGACACACATCCCTGTTCTTGTAGTGAGCTTAGATGCTGTTTTGAAACATCTACAAATAAAATATTTTTTCGGATCGATTGACATCCCTTTCTGTCAGTAACTCGAGCCGTGAAAGCGAACTGTTGTTTTGGCATTGCCTCTTCTGGCGTGATTCCTGTAGCTCCTCCTCAAAACACAACTGTCATTAATGTGCCTTATCTACATGATGACTTGACAGTTTGTTTGTTTTTTGTCTCCCCTAGATCTCTCAGTTGTGCCAACAACCTCTGGCAGCATTCACCCTCAAACAGTCAGGTCGTCCTCGTCATCATCTTCCCATCATGCCTCTACCTCAGAGCTCAATGATGCCCCAGGCCCTTCCACTAGCTGCTCAGGTTCAATACCTGAAAGTATGCACACACAGAGGCCAAGTGGCTCTGCTCGCACAGCCACAGAGGGTAAGACAGGACATGGCATGTTGAAACCAGCTGCTGTCGACCGTTTCATTTCAACTCTTGCCCAAAAGCGGTTTGGGTCAGCGATTACTTCTCTCAGCTGCTGATTAATGTTAACAAGATAAACTATGAACCAATCTGCATTGTGTAGTCACGTCTCTGTTCTTTTTCTGCCCTGTAGTATGCTAACTTGCTGTCTCGTCCTACATTTCATTTTGCTAACGATATGTCTTCTCTTCATCAGATGACAACAGACCAGGTTTGTCAGGTACAGCGGGAGAAAACGCAGGCACAGCCATGCCCAGACTCCCATCCTGCTGTCAGCAGCACTCCCCGTGTGGAGGCCCCTCTCCTGGTCACCTGTCCCTGAGCCACTCCCATTCAAGCTGTTTGCAGGCGTCATCTTCTCAGCAGACCAGCGGCTCTCAGCACAGCCACAGCCACAGCAACGCTCACCACTTTCTCCACCATGTCCATCATCCAGCACCGCAGCCCCCGGGCACCGTGCCCTTTCAAGAGCCGAGCTGCCCTGTGGAGCGACCCAGCGCTCTTCCCGCCCCCTGCGCTGGAGTCAGCAGCAGCAGTAACAGCAGCAGTAGCAGTAACGCAGCCCATTACCACGACCAGGTACGGCTGTGCTCTGTTCAGTGCCAGCACACTGCAGCTGTACCAGAGTGTTGGACTGACGAGCATGCAGTGCGTCTACTTAACCCTGGTTTCCATGGCCACCAAAACACACATGTATCGTTTTTTTGTTAGCAAAGAAAGGCACATTTAGCGTCTTCAAAGTAGTTGACAGAGATCACATTTTAAGTAATAACATGATGGTCTTTGATTTCATTCGTTGCTAATTTTTTTCTCTCTTTTGCCAAAGCATCAGTGCATCACTAATAAAAGAAGGTCATTCCTGCTGTCTGACTTGAAAGAGCTCGTAGCTAGAGAGTGAAGGAAACAGAATACACAAAGGTTTCCAATCTATGTTTTCACTCAGCAGCACTTAAGAGTAGATTTCACTCTGCACGGTACATGACGTGAGCCGTGGGAAAAAAGAAGACACGTCGTGCATTCCTCAGGAGAAGTTTGTTCGGCTCCGTTCTTTAACATCTCCGCTTTCCTCCCACAGCAAACTCTGCCAGTGGACCTGAGCAACAGCAGTGTTCGGAGCGGTGGAAACAGTGGGGCTAGTTTCCATGGCAGCACTTCGGCCTTTGACCCGTGCTGCCCAGGCTCCACCTCGCGGCCTCCCGCTTACGTTTCCCATGCCACCCCTGGGCCCAGCCAGCCAGCTGTGGTGGACTCGTTCGGCTCCTCCATGGTGGCTCAGCCCCAGCCGCAGACGCAACCGCAGCCCTGCAGACATTACATGCACCCATCTTGTGAGTGAACGGAGATCCAGGATTCGTTTAATTCCTCTGAGTTTTTAACGTATCAGATGGATGTTCAAGTGTCTGCCGTTGCGTTACAAAAAATTCGCTCATTTGCGGCGACTAGTGAAAATTGGCAGACAGATGCACTTCTAAAACCTAATGCTAATAGTAATTAACAGAGACTGATGGCTAATGTGCCAAGTGCTGAGGGAACTGTACCAGGCAGAGGAAGTTAATTGCTACTTAGAATATTTCAGTATGGAGACTGAAGCGATGTGACAAGGCTCCCCGGTGGGCTTGTAGTAAGAGCTGGTGGCCGCTGGTGCCTGCGCTCACCTCTCCCTCGCCTGGTACTCGCCTTCCTTTCACTGCAGCACAGACAAACAGCAAGGGAGTGTGCATCGAGAACAACTAGAAGTGAAAGTATTTATTAAATGGTTGAATCACAGTGACGAATATGGTTTGCTTTGCTGGAAACCTGTTATGTTAATAACAACAACAATAGCAAAAATACAGCGACAAACGCATCATCAGTAACTTGATGTGTGTCTGTTGCCTTAAAGTATGAATATAGAAGCCTTTCAGAAACATTTTGACCGACGCCTGTGTAACCAAAGCCAGACAAAGCTTCAACATCTGTACCATAGAAAGTTGTTCACCTGAAATTATTGTAGAAAAAAAGCATTATGAGATTATTAAAAACACATCAATGAGTAGCTTCTTGATTACAATGAACGTGGGCACTGCAGTTT